GTAACTTTGTATTCATCACTTGCCAGTAAATATCAACTATTCAGTTCACTAACAAACTTTCATCTATATATATATATATATATATATATATATGTAATAGGAGTAAAGCAGGCGGTATGTGTGTGTGTGTGTATATATATATATATATATGTCTGTCTGTCTGTCTATGTATTTTTATATCATCCACAATATTAAAACCACTGACTGGTGAAATGAATAACATTGATTATATTGTTATAATGGTATCTGTCAAGGGGTGGGATATATTACAGAGCAAGTGAACAGTCAGTTCATGAATTTCATGGTTGAAAGCAGGAAAAAAAAAGGCATCAGAAAGATATTTCGAGTGACTTCGACAAGGGCCAAATAATAATGGCGATACGATTGGGTTAGAGCATCTTCAAAACAGCCAGTCTTGTGGGGTGTTCCCCCGTTTGCATTGGTAGTACCTATTAAAAGTGGTGAAGGGAAGGACAACTGTGAAACTGGCGTTAGGGTCAAGAGTGCCCAAGGTTCATTGATACACATGGAGAGCGAAGGGTAGCCAGTCTGATCCAATCATACAGAAGAACTACTCAAGCTCAAATTGCTGAAAAACCTATAGCTGGACATGATAAAAATGTGTCAGAACACACAGTGCATCGCAGTCTGCTGTATATGGGGCAGCATAGCTGCAGACTGGTCAGAGTGCTCATGATGTCCCCTGTCCACAGCTGAAAGTGCCTACAATGGGTATGTGAGCATCAAAATTGGGCCATGGAGCAATGGAAGAAGGTTGCCTGATATGATGAATCACATTTTCTTTTAGATGAGGTGAATGGTCAGGTGTTGTTTACCCGGGGAAGAGATTGCAGCAGGATGCACTATGGGAAGAAGGCAAGCTGGTGGAGGCAGTGTTATGCACTGGGCAATGTTCTGCTCGGAAACTACTTTGACATGTATCACCTACTTAGAGATTGTTACAGACTACATTCACCCCTTCATAACAATAGTGTTCTCTGATGGCAGAGGCCTCTTTCAGCAGGATAATGCACCTCAATAGTTTTAGAGATTTTTTTCAGCATGACAATGCCTCCTTATACTAAGTGATATCCAAACAGCAATACTTTTTGATTGACATCGATATATTGAGCTCTCACCACAACCCAGTTAAACTCCTTTAGGATTAACTGTAATGTAATTTGCCATGCAGGTTTCAGTCAATTCTGGAACTCATTAATAATATGGGGGAAGGGAATAAAATCCTTAAAGCAATATACAACTCTTTTGTAAAGTGGTTTGTATAAAAGAGAGGACATACTCCATGTAATAGGTTATATGTTTGATGAGCAGCTATCCACATTCATTTATGCATGCAGTGTAGCTCTTAGGATATCTGACTTTTGTTAAATAAATCTGAATACCCCCAAATAAGAATCAGCACATAGTGAATTTTCCAGTTACTAAAGTTGTGCTGCCCATAAATCATCCCCTGGATGAAATCAAGTTATTTATTAAGCACATGTGAGTATATCACATATAGCCTTTAACAGGTTTACTAAAACAAAGAAAGGAACCCAGAATGTGCCTTTCCACTATTTAAGGCTTCATTGGAGGTAAAAGTATATTATTATTTAAGTCTCAAATATAATTTATTCTTTTCTTCCTCTAGACAGAAATACTGTTAACTATTAAAAAAGTGATGTTGAATGACAGAGAGTAGAAAAGAGTACCAATTATTATTGTTATATGTTCATGTACATCTGGGAAGACAATAAAAAAAGATGAATAAAAATGTTGCAGACTACCTATGCCCTGCAGCTTTATCATTGTTCTCTTTTAACTTGAAATTTGCAGGTGAGACATCATTTGTTTTCAGGATTTTCCACTTTAACAAGATTTGCTCTCCATGCTTTAGTAGCGTGAATGTTTGAACGGTTTTTCAATTTTTTTTTTTATTCATCGTTAGTGATATTGGTTAGATTTCCCCATGTTACAGAATCTTCAACAAAACTGAAATATGTTCAGTCCATGTCTATCTGTTAACGTGTGGGAAAGTGATCAAAAACCATGGTCATGATTTGTGGCAGCATTGTGCCTGTCAAGAAATGGAGTTGAATCAGTTGTCAGTTTCTTTAAGGAAATTTACTTTCTGGCCTTGTTTATGTCAGTCCTTTCAACATAACTGGAAAGGATAGAAGACAGATTCTGCCTTCCCAGACTGAAGACCAGACAAGCGTTTGTTCTCCTGATTTTTTCCTGATAATTATGATTTACCTATTCCTGTTGTCTTGTAAAAAATAAAAGTAAAAGATATATGGGGAATGCCGATATAGCAAATATAGAGTTTGTTATTTCCAGCCTTACAGACAGTAAAAGGGGCAGACTAAGTGGTTCAAAGGGCTTTTAAGTGCATCAAAATCTGTCTCCATTTTTCTTTCATTTAAAAATAAAACAGATTCAAGAGGTTAAGCATTCCCTGCTCAAACTTACAGTTATTACTAAGAACTTAATTTTGTATCATTATCGATTTTTGGAAATTTGTGCAGAATAGTAATTGGCACGATGCTACACATTTGGTGGGATTGTAAGGGAATCCAACCACTTTGGAAACAGGTACAATCACTGTTTACATCTTTGGGCATTATAAACCTCTCCCTTGAACCTAAGACATGTCTTTTCCTGCTATTTCCCCCCAAAATCCACCAATATTATCAATTGTTGGCTATTGCTGGCAGCACACTACTTAATAGCGACCAAGTTGAAAACTACGGCGTGCCCGACCTTATGCCAATTGAAAGACAAAATCCAACATTATCAATATGAAAAAACATGTCTACCTACAGCAGTCAAAAGAATACAGTTTGACGCAACTTGGGTGGGATGACTGTATGGGAACCCTTCTAACCGGGGAGATCACCCAGGGAAAGCCACCACTATTATACCATAGACCAACCACAAGACCGTAGATCCCCCACCTGACACACTATCCACCAGATGGGAATAGAATATGAGAGGTATGATTTTGGTTATCCTTTTTAGTTACATTGTTCTTTTATTTTATACTTTTGCTTTATCTGTACTTTGGCACTTACTCATAAGCTAGCCTATGATGTCTTCCATATCCAACATGTACCACTGATATATTAACACACAGATAATGCAGCAGAGGCACTATCAGTTATTATTTCTGGATGTATGAGCGGATATACATGTCTTGTAAACTCACAGACAGTATTTCATATTGTATGTGTGGCAGACCTACTAGTTGAGAAATAGCTAAAATGACAATGAAGGGGGAAGTTATCATCATGGGTGACTTTAATCTTCCTGATGTAAATTGGAAAACAAAATTAGCTACTTGTGCCAGGAGCACACATATTCTAAACTCCCTACTGGGATTGTCTCTAAAACAAGTTGTTGAGGATCCAACTCGTAAAGAGGCCATACTAGATTTAGTGTTAACAAATAGAGATTTGGTATCAGATATTACTGTAGGTGAAAGTTTAGGATCCAGTCAGTCAGTGTGGTTTAATATAAGAACAGTGACTGAGTCACACCACACAAAAACAAAAGTTTTAGACTTTAGAAAAACAGACTTTTCTAAAATTAGAATCTGGGTAGAGGAGTCATTATCAGACTGGAGCTATTTAAATGGAGTCCAAAAGAAATGGGATTATTTAAAAGTTGCACTATTGAAGACAACAGAAAATTGCATTAGGCTTGTCAGTAAAAGCAGAAAATTCAAGAAACCACTGATGTGGCCAAAATAGTTAAAAACAAAAAGTTAGCATTTAGGAATTATAAAAAAAAAACAGAGTGAGGAAGACAAAATGATCTATAAGATTAGGCAGAAAGAGGCTAAGCAAGTTATAATAGCTTCCAAATCACACACAGAAGAGGAAATAGCACAGTCAGTAAAAAAAGGGGGATAAAACATTTTTTAGATACATAAATGAGAAAAGAAAAGTAAAACAAGGATTAGTTAGATTAAAAACAAAAGAAGGAAGGTATGTAGAGGAGGATAAAGGTCTAGCTGACTGCCTCAATGAATATTTTTGTTCTGTATTTACAGATGAAAATGAAGGAAAGGGACCTCAGTTGAAAAAAAGGATAAATGAGTCATTTATTACACGTGAGTTTACAGAGGAAGAGGTTCTATTTCAACTGTCAAAAGTAAAAGACAAATAAGTCAATGGGACCTGATGGAATACACCCAAAGCTATTAAAAGAGCTTAGTGGTGTACTAGCAAAACGATTAACAGATTTATTTAACCAATCATTGTTAACAGGAGTAGTCCCAGAAGATTGGAAGTTAGCGAATGTTGTGCCCATTTACAAGAAAGGTAATAGGGAGGAGTCGGCAACTATAGGCCAGTAAGCCTTACTTCAGTAGTGGGGAAAGTGATGGAAACCATGTTAAAAGATAGGATTGATGAACATCTAAAAACACATGGATTTCAAGATCAGAGACAACATGGGTTTACTTCAGGGAGATCATGCCAAACTAATCTTATTGATTTTTGATTGGGTAACTAAAATTATAGATCAGGGTGGTGCAGTAGACATTGCTTACCTAGATTTCAGTAAGGCTTTTGACACTGTTGCACATAGAAGGTTTATCAATAAACTGCAATCTTTAAGTTTGGATTCCAATATTGTTGAATGGGTAAGGCAGTGGCTGAGTGACAGGCAACAGAGGGTTGTAGTCAATGGAATATATTCGAAGCTTGGATTTGTCACCAGTGAGGTACCTCAGGGATTTACACTTGGACCCATTCTCTTTAATATTTTTATTAGTGATATTGCAGAAGGTCTTGATGGTAAGGTATGTCTTTTTGCTGATGATACTAAGATATGTAACAGGGTTGATGTTCCAGGAGGGATAAGCCAAATGGCAAATGACTTAGGTAAACTAGAAAAATGGTCAGAATTGTGGAAACTGACATTTAATGTGGATAAGTGCAAGATAATGCATCTTGGACGTTACAAACCCAAGGGCAGAGTACAGAATATTTGATAGAGTCCTAACCTCAACATCTGAGGAAAGGGATTTAGGGGTGATTATTTCTGATGACTTAAAGGTAGGCAGACAATGTAATAGAGCAGCAGGAAATGCTAGCAGAATGCTTGGTTGTATAGGGAGAGGTATTAGCAGTAGAAAGAGGGAAGCGCTCATGCCATTGTACAGAACACTGGTGAGACCTCACTTGGAGTATTGTACACAGTACTGGAGACCGTATCTTCAGAAGGATATTGATACCTTTAGAGAGGGTTCAGAGAAGGGCTACTAAACTGGTTCATGGATTGCAGGATAAAACTTACCAGGAAAGGTTAAAGGATCTTAACATGTATAGCTTGGAGGAAAGACGAGACAGGGGGGATATGATAGAAACATTTAAATATATAAAGGAATCAACACAGTAAAGGAGGAGACTATATTTAAAAGAAGAAAAACTACCACAACAAGAGGACATAGTCTTAAATTAGAGGGACAAAGGTTTAAAAAATAATATCAGGAAGTATTACTTTACTGAGAGGGTAGTGGATGCATGGAATAGCCTTCCAGCTGAAGTGGTAGAGGTTAACACAGTAAAGGAGTTTAAGCATGCGTGGGATATGCATAAGGCTATCCTAACTATAAGATAAGGCTAGGGACTAATGAAAGTATTCAGAAAATTGGGCAGACTAAATGGGCCGAATGGTTCTTATCTGCCGTCACATTCTATGTTTCTATGTTTCATTTCCAGGATCCTCTGTGCCTGAGAGATAATTACCTGAGCAAACACTTATATTTTAATTATCTCTCAGGGACAGAAAATATAACAATTTCTAAAACACATCAAAATGCACAAAAAATACACGAAAACACCACAAAAGTCACATCCCCTGATAGTCCAGGTCTGGGTGACCAACATATCCAAAAATCACCCAGACCTATTTTTAACCGACCGCACATGTGGCTTAAGACCAAAATAGTTCCATGAAATCAGTGCTAGCTCAGCACCCAAACACCACTGCCTGCATTTGCGGGAACAAGATGGCCGCCACCTCGTGGTCGTTCATACGTACTGCGGCCACCCAGACGAACAAGTAGAACACTGAAGTGGAAATCGTTACAAGTTGTCAATTAGACTTAACAAGCACAAGGGTGGTCTTTGGTTTGTGCGATTTTTTTATATTTATGGTTGGGGGTCGGGGGGAGACAATAGATCCCCCCTTTATTGTCATTTAGGGCCCCCACCCTCCGCTCATGGGTGAAGGCCGTGGGGGAGACATTAGGACCCCATTATTTATTTAATTAAGGGCCCCCACCTGCCGCTCATGGGTGGGGACCTGGGGGTGACATTTGGACCCTTATTATTTATTTAATTAAGATCCAAACCTGTCGCTCATGGGAGGGGACATTAGGTACCCCCATTATTTATTTAACTAAAGTTCCCACTCGCCGGTCATGGGTGGGGACCTGGGGGGGGAATTAGGTACCCCCTTTATTTAATTAGGGTCCCCACCCACCTCTCATGGGTGGGGACCTGGGAGGACATTAGGTCCCCCCCATTAGTTATTTAATTAAGGTCCCCACCCGCCAGTCATTGGTGGGGACCTGGGGGGGACATTAAGTCCCCCCCATTATTTATTTAATTAAGGTCCCCACCCGCCGGTCATGGGTGGTGGCCTGAGGGGGACCCTAGGTCCCCTCAATTATATTAATAGCCCCCCCCATTTTTGTTATTTGGGTGCTCGCTGTTTTGGTGACATGCCCCTACTCGTGGCATGCCACAAGTAGGGTCATGCGGGAGGATTTAACCTCTCTTTTATTAATATGGGGGTCACAGTGACCCCCGTAGGTTTTTAATGCTGGTTGGGTAGGAATTAATATTATTTATTACAAGGAGGGAGCTGGTAGGGCATGCGCAGTGGTATTTTTGTCCTAATGGCCAAAAACAAATAATTTTTTTACCGAATTTCATCTGAAAACTAATAGTTTACAGACTAAATTCAAAATGAATGAATTACATTTTTATTTAGTAAGAATTCATTCGTACGAAATGAAAATTTCACTGGTGCACATGTCTACTATGTACATCTTTGTATGATCAGTGCTACTGCTTTGTTGATTGAAAAACATAAACCAATTAAAAATTTGAATAATTAAAAAAAAGTTAAAATTTTTTTAATCTGACCAATGTAAATCTCCATGTCTAATATGTATTTTAGCAAGCTCAGACACGAGGATTTGGAAGCCCAGTGGGAAATGCCAAGCAATAAACTTATTTTCTTGTGTATTATCTGTGATTAATATTATGGTAAACCTAAAAAGGAAGTGTATAAATGATTATATTTTGAAAGTAAGGTGGGTTCCTCAGTTCACTCCTTGCCCTACTGGGGTCTACTTGTTCTGGTTACGTTTTTATTTATAATTCTTACACTTCATCCATGTTCAAAATCCAGCCATAGAAATTTAATCAATAGAATGCATTTTGGAGCTGAGGTAAAGCTATCGTAGAAGTGATGAGTGAGGCAGGTTCTCTTGAAATGTTTCACTCAACATTGATTTTACACATCATTATACAATTAATTCAATATCTAATCAGGTTAACTGGAACACTTAGCAGCAGTTCGGGCCTGGATTCTATTACAAGAGATAAATGTAATTGTTATAACTAAATAGCATTTCTTCCCTTGACTTTTACGGAAAAAATGGTGTTCAATTAGACGTAAACATGTATCGTATAATAGATATTTTATCTTATAATAAAATCTGGCCCTCAGTTAGATATGTTTTCTATAAACTTGATAATTTTGCACTTAATGTTTCAAGATGTTTGTCAGCTCAATGCAACTCCTAATTTAAGCATAGATGTTGACAGTACATTTCATGGGCATGCATCAGTGATTTTTCTTCATAAAGGAATATTGAGACATGAAACTTCATAGGGGTTATGTCTATTCATCAAACAAGCTGAAACTTAGTTATGTTTAAATAAATTACCAAATTCACAATTGTAATAGAAATTTTAAAATAAAAGATGTTTTGTTTTTATCTTTAGATCAACCACACTTATAAAGATAAATGATAAGTTTAATCTTTGACGAGTTAATGGGAGTTTTCAAAACAAAACATACGTGTGGATATCAATTTAGCCTCTAAGTGCCAAATATTACACTTTACTATTTGTATAATTATTTCAGATGACTTAAAGGTAGGCAGACAATGTAATAGAGCAGCAGGAAATGCTAGCAGAATGTTTGGTTGTATAGGGAGAGGTATTAGCAGTAGAAAGAGGGAAGTGCTCATGCCATTGTACAGAACACTGGTGAGACCTCACTTGAGTATTGTACGCTGTACTGGAGACCATATCTCCAGAAGGATATTGATACCTTAGAGAGGGTTCAGAGAAGGGCTACTAAACTGGTTCATGGATTACAGGATAAAATTTACAAGGAAAGGTTAAAGGAACTTAACATATATAGCTTGGAGAAAAGACGGGACAGGGGGGATATGATAGAAACATTTAAATACATAAAGGGAATCAACACAGTAAAGGAGGAGACTATATTTAAAAGAAGAAAAGCCACTACAAGAAGATATAGTCTTAAATTAGAGGGGCAAAGGTTTAAAAATAATATCATGAAAGTATTACTTTACTGAGAGTGTAGTGGATGCATGGAATAGCCTTCCAGATGAAGTGGTAAAGGTTAACACAGTGAAGGAGTTTAAGCATGCGTGGGATAGGCATAAGGCTATCCTAACTATAAGATAAGGCCAGGGACTAATTAAAGTATTTAGAAAATTGGACAGACTAGATGGGCCGAATGGTTCTTATCTGCTGTCACATTTGATGTTTTTATCTTTACATCCTTGTTCCTGTATACCCTGTGACAAAATTTAATATTTCTCTTATTTAGCTGGACATTTCTATTCAAAACCTACAGAAAGTAATTCAATGGGTAATTCCATTTAGAAAAAAGATTCCTAAAGAACAAATTCAGATGGAAAAGACCATAATTCACCCTTTAAGGGTTACATTTGGTATTGTGAACAACATAGCCGCGAATTAGGATGTAATCGGCACTCCTCACGCACATGCTAATAGACATCAAATACTTTAATTCATTATAATACTATATAATAATGTATAATACGTCTAAATAAAAAGAGTTACCAACCACTAATAATAAAAAAAAATCCAATCAGCAATTACAGGCATAGGATCGTATATCAAATAAAAATACTAGAGGTACCCAACACGTAATTCTTTTTTTCTCAATTTCTTTGGAAGATTTGCTGACATTTAATCTCTGTCGTGTAACAATGATCAAACAACACTGTTAAGCAGTGATAAGGAAGGCAGCTATGAATTAAGCATGCATCCAATCCTTGTAAGCCAACACAATCTGACATTACTGTACCAGCAGGGGGGTGAATATTTCTGCAAACCACTGTATGTGGATTGTATCACTTATTGTAAATATTCTCTTCAAAGTGTGAGTAGTGAGTGGAAGATTAATGACTACTTTTTCTAATCAGTGTTAAAAAGAGATTAGTCTAGGCTCAGCAAGACAGTCTCTTTTGTAGTGTGTAGTAATTCATTTCTGCTTGGATTGCTCAGCATGATTGAATGCGAATAAACCGAGTTAAAACACCCAGCCTAAAATGAACAGCGCAGCAAGCATTTGTAAGTGTGACACAAAAGATATTTTATGTTAGTCATAAAGAAAATTCAATAGTAACAATGGGACTGGAAATGTTTGCATTGTACTTGTCAAACAATCTGTGTATTTGCAGAACATATTATGCATCACTATAATGTCTTCTAGGTCAAAATCCCTGTTCATGGCGTCAGGCTTTGGAGTCAATATGTTGAGATCCCCTATTAGCCATATATATTTTGCCATAACCCTCTCCCTCTCTTTAAAGTAAGTGCTAAAAAGTAGCACCATTAATTAATCGCTTTGCTGTGTGTAATCAAATAGGTATAAACAAACTACAATGTAATGCAAAATGTTTTGGTGATTTATGTGGAATTATGTGGAGGTAAAAAAAAGGTAATTATATTAAATGAAAAATCAAGCTCATATGACGCATATGCCACCATAAGCAAAAAAGTGATAAACAATAAAATGGCATGCTTTGTATAATTATTAATCCTCCTGGACATTTCTAAATTTTATAGAAGTTAAATGGATCTCATTTGTATTTTCACTAAAAGATTTTCACAGTATACCTAATACTTTCAAGCAGCGTTGGAATTAATGCCAGCGCAGCCGGTGATGCTGCACCGGGGCCTGCATGTTCAGAGGGCCCATCGGGGATCCCATGCACTTAAGGCCACCCAATTGCCCTTTACCGGCCCATGTTGTATAGGATACTGAAAGCGGGAGCCTGTCGCTTCCTCCCAGCTACAGAGGGAGCCACACAGGAGGTAGGGAGGAGGCACAGGGTGGGGCCACCCTCCTGCAAAAGGTATGCTAACAGGAGGGAGGCAAAAAATCTAAGCATTACTAATGTGTGTGTGTGAGTGTGATGTATGTGTCAGTGTGTGTATCTATATGTTTGTCAGTGTGTGTGTGTATTCAGTGTGTGTATGTGTCTCAGTGTGTGTATGTGTCAGTATGTATATCAATGTGTTTGTGTGTACATGTATTTGTCAGTGTGTATATGTGTCAGTGTATGTCAGTGGATGTATCTATGTGTTTCTCAGCATATGTATGTGTCAGTGTGTGTATTTGTGTGACAGTGTGTGTGTGTGTCTCAGAATGTGCAAAATGTAATTGAGTGTGTATGTGTCAGTTTGTATCTGAGTGTGTATGTGTCAGTGCATGTTTGTCAATGTGTATGTGTATCTGTGTAAGTATGTTTGTCTGTATATGCATACATCCACAGCAAGCAAACATTAATACTAAATGCAAACATAATCTTGCAATCAAACACACACAATACATACTTACACATTCAAGCAGCCAAAATTATATACAAAAACACTGCTACACCTGCATTTAAAAGCCAACACTACATACAAATACACCCCTGCAATCCTACACAAACATTACATAAAAGTATACCATTGCAATGGCAACGGTAAATAGAAATACACCCTTACATGCACACACATTCTCCATACGACATCATGATTAAATTAAAACGCACATACACTGCCAACAAATACAACTTTGCAAGGATGAGCAAATGGTAGATCCTCAGCTTGCATAGCATCATGGGTGCTCTACGACAGATGCGGGTTCTTGCACTAGAGAACCTGGGCATCAAGGCCCTCTCTGCATTGCACTAGAGAGCCTACATTGCACTAGAGAGCCTGGGCATCAGGGCCCTCGGCAAAGTGCTTTTTGACACAAAGGTATTCAATCCTTGCGCTATAAACCCCAATAAATCCATTTGCCTTTACAAGTTGCATAATTAGGTGAATGGGAAAAATAAATAAATAATTAAAGTATCTCATAAACTCAAAACTATTACACCTGATCCTGGCAATCCATGGAATTTATTGGACAGCATATTTAAACAAACAGTATCATGAAGACCAATCATATATCAAAACAAGTCAGGCATAACATTTTGGGGAAGCACCCATGAGGACTGGGTTTAAAAGGAAATATAGTACAAATGGTTAACATTCTCAAAGCACCATTAAATCCATATTAAGCATTTGTTTATAATTATTAGAACATAGAAACAATTTGGCACTACACAGGTAAGTAGAACATGAAATTCCAGTGGTGGCTTTGAAGAGTCTGGAGAAATATGTAGTCAAGATGAGAAAAACTATTTATTGGACAACCATAACAAAAGTGTATCAAATCCTCAAATAATTGCTAAAACAGAAAACATATGGATAAAGCTCCCTGAGGTAATGATGAATTAAAATAATATCATAATTTCCTAGACAATTTCACACTATTCCAAGTTAAGGGGATACATCTTTGTGATCAAGAGAGAAAAGATTGACACAGAAATAGTGGGGATGAAGACAGGGAGATTACATTTTGAGGAACAGAAACTGAGGAAAGATGCTGTATATTATTGGAGGAATTAGAACAATAGGAACTGGTATCTCTAGATGATGTATAATATGAGGGAACATTGTTTTCTTCAGATATCCATCTGCCTATTATTTAATTGATTACCTTTACCTTACATTTGTTAGCTGAAAACTGGGGTATTAAAGGGACACTCCAGGCACCCAGACCACTTCTGCCCATTGGAGTGGTCTGGGTGCCAACTCCCACTACCCTTAACCCTGCAACTGTAATTATTGTTTTTATTAACTGCAATAATTACTTGCAGGGTTAACTCCTCCTCTAGTGGCTGTCTACTAGACAGCCACTATAGGGCACTTCCAGGATTATAGCACAGATTTTCTGTGCTATAGCGTCGCTGGACTTCCTCACGATATGTGAGGACGTCCAGCATCACTAAAATCCCCATAGAAAAGCATTGAAAGCATTTTCAATGCTTTCCTATGGGGAGGTCTAATGCGCGTGCGCAGCATTGCCGCGCATGCACATCAGGTCTCCCCTGCCGGCGGCGTGATCAGTCTTCCCGGCCAGCTGACGTGGTGACGGGAAGCAGCATGGGCGGACCAACAAGCAGCGCCAAGAGACATCATCGCTGCCTCTGGTAAGTCACTAGGGTTTTGACCTCTTCAGCAACCGGGGATGGGAGGTGGGAGGGAGAGGGGACCTGCAGTTCCAGGAAAACAAATTGTTTTCCTGGCATTGGAGAGTCCCGTTAAACTCCTAACTTACTCAAGCAAACATGGATAGACCTCTTTACTCTAATCCTTGCTGTTTATTTGATGGTTTGAAAACATCCCATAATTCGTTTTAAAATCCTATTTGCTGCATATGAATTTAAGGATGAGAAACTATGTGACATATCTTACTGATCACATGGGAAACACAGGAATAAAATGATTTAAGTGAACCGGAAATGCATTAAATACATTATATATCCCATAAATTGTACAGCCCTACGGAATCTGATGGCGCTATATAAATAATAAAATAATAATAATAGATACTTGATGCGTTTGATGTAAAACATATGGACATAAACTCACCCCGACCTGTACCGTGCCTGCTCTCTTTTTCTATGTGCCCTCCCTGGGAACACTTCCACAAGCAGGCCAATCTTCCTACTTGATGCTGGTACTCTGGCTCTATTGACAGAGTCGACTACGGAGGTACCACAACTATAGTGCATGTGCTGTGGTTGCTGGGCTTGGAAACTAGAAGGATCACCAGTGAGAGATTATCCCCCTCTCCCCTCACCAGAGTCTATGCTGAATAATTGACTGACAGGTAGTGATGTACCGAACGGTTCGCTGGCGAACGGTTCCTGGCGAACATAGCATGTTCGCGTTCGCCACGGTGGGCGAACATATGCGCGGTTC